CCACTGGAGCTCAGGAGAAGAGGAGGAGAGACCTATGGAGTTCATGAAGGAGGGAGAAACCATGATGAGAGAAAGAAAAAACTGCTCTGAATGTTTCGGGCCATGGCTTTAAGGCTGGAGCTCCTGAGCACATGGAGCAGGAGCTGGCAGAAGCCGCAGCTGTGCCATTCAGATGGAGTTACTTGGAGACAGCAGGGGAGAAGATGGCCTTGGTGGCCCCCAGGACAGCAAGACCACTAATAGGGTTCCTGTGGACCCACGCAGGAGGAGCCAGAACAGCTGAAAAAGGGGAGCCATTCAGAGGCCAGTGAGTCATTGCAAGGGACCAGCACAGGGCCCATCCCATGGGAAGTGTTTGGAACACGGGCAGTGGGAGAGAAAGGCCCACCAGGAAAACACTGGGACACAGCAAGGACAACTGATCTGCCCCCCAATTAGTGCAGGACTATTCAGAGGAGACTGGTCAGGAATGCAGAATTGCATGGGGTGCAGTTTGATGAAAAAACTGAGGCCCAGTCAGAGTTTCTACACAACCCAGGTGCACAGGGTCTCTGGAGAGCTGGAAGTACCTATAAGGTCAACAATTAAACCCTGAGCTGCACAAAAAGCCTTCCTTAGGGAAACAGCATCAAAGCAGCAATTTAGTTCAACCACACAGCTCAAGTGCTGGCTCCCACAGGAAGTTCCCCCATTTTAGAAGCAAAGGACAAAAAAATTAGTTCCAGCCCAGGCACACCACCAGCTCCTTGGGGCTGCCAGAGGACCTGAGACATGGAGCTGCGGACCGGACCTCCCCTCCCACCCACCCACAACAAGGCACTCCACCAGTGCCTCAGGGCCTGCCCAGAGTCCTGAGGCATAAAGCCAGGGACCAGACACCCCCTACAACAAGGCATACCACCAGCACCAAGGAGCATGCCAAAAACATCACCTCCATGTGGGTGGTCCACCACAGCCACCACTGTAACCACAGCTGCTGCAAAAGTGGCTAGACATCACAACCACCATGCAGATGGTCCACCAGCCACTGGAGTGCATTGACACAAGGAGAGTCACCAGCAGAGACCAAAGAAAAGAAGATGTCTCTCTCCACAAAGGCCATTTCAGAGTGACAGAAGAAGCAGCTGCTCTATGATAATACTGGGGGACCTGAACACATCTTTCAGCATTGGACAGATCATGTAGGCAACGAATCAATAAAGTAACCATTATTCTTTCAGAGGGAGAGAAGAAATCTAGGGTTATCAGTGGTGGGATTGGGGAGAGAGAGGGGAATAGGAAGAGATTGGACAAGGGGCATAAATAAGTACAATTTGTAACAATATATATACTAGTAATATTGATTTGATCAACATATGTCAACATTGAACCTCAAAAATATGTATAATCAATTATAATTCAATAAAAAATAAAGAAAGAAAGAAATAAAAAACAAAGGAAGACATTACAGCCATTCAAAACATGGTCAAAAACAGACACTACCTGTGATCTAGCATCTAGAGAACGGATACTCAACCCCAGATTTCAGATGCCTGTGGCTCATATATAATATGTAGTTCTACAAAAGGTCCATCTTTGTATTCTAGTACCATACTAGATTTATAAGGCCAGATTGTATCGGTGACGCTACAATCAGTTAATGTTGAACCTGGTTCTAAAATTTCCCAAATACCTTAAGGTATTTAAGCACTAATACAACAACCATGAATGACCAAGCAGAGACTGAAGGACAGTATGGTGAAGTGGTTTAAAAACATCAACTCTGGATCAGGACTGTTTAGACTTAAACTCTGGCTCTACTCAGTTATTGCTAAATGACCTTATGTAAACTACTTAACTTTTCTAATCTTCAATTTTCTCACAGAAACAATAGTATCTACTTTGTAAGGTTGATGTGAAGAAAGGAAGCTTATTCTCTGTAAGCAACACAAGATTTCAGCCAATCATACAATTGAAAAACCTTAGAAACCTTAGTCAGAGAGTAATTTCAAGAACAAGACAGACTAGCTTTAAAAAAAAAAAAAAAAATTACCAAACAAAAAAAGTTTGTCCAGGGGCCAGCCCATGGCTCACCTGGGAGAGTGTGGTGTTGGTAACACCAAGGCCGTGAGTTCAGATCCCTATATAGGGATGGCCGGTTAGCTCACTTGGGAGAGTGTGGTGCTGACAACACCAAGTCAAGGATTAAGATCCCCTTACCAGTCATCTTTAAAAAAAAAAAAAAAAGTTTGTCCATATATAAAAATATTATTATGAATCTACCCACAGTAGGGCTTAAAGGTGCCCCTCTGGCTGTGGAAAGAGGTTTGTACTAATCTGGCTCCTCTCTGAAGCCTTGTTTATATCAATGGCACTGGCTGGCCAGTTAGCTTACTTGGTTAGAGCATGGTGCTGTTAACACCAAGGTCAAAGGTTTGGATCTCCAAACTGGCCAGCTGCCAAAAAACGTAAGATATCAATGGCATGTTTTGGCACCTTCACTGCCTGGGATGGGGGGTGCAGCCTGTGACCAGGGCCCATAAGCAATGTACCTTAATTTTAAGAGCTAAACAGCCACAGACTTAAGAGAAAAGTAGTTTTATTGAGAGAGCAGGGCTTAGGTGACCTCCCTTACATAAATTCTGATGCTCTCAAAAAGAATGGGAGTGGGGGATCATCACCAGCAGAGTGCAAGGCTTACCTGCAAGTCCCGATTTTTGAGATTGCCCAGCCAGAAAGCCTCTCTACAATTGTTGAGGATAAGCATGGCTTTGACTCTGCAAACTAACAGTTCCAGGGTCTTTTTGAGCAAAGGCACGTGTTTGGTGAGTCTCATGTCCTGGTGAATCTAGATGGAAATAAATACATCCATCTCATCTGGGTGTATCATCATGCTTTCACATTTCCTATATGTGAAACTTGAATTCTTGACACCTTGAACATTGAATAAGAGCCCAAGCCCTGCCAATATGGGCCAGAGACATGTTCCAAAACAGCAGTAGTTTGGTAGAATACTCTGAAGAGAATGACAGCTAAAAAATTCAAATCCTAGAATATGTACCACCAATACCTAGAGGTTATGAAGAAGAACCTACATCGACCAATTAATGAATTTACTGAAAATATTCTTGAACATATACCAATTTTTTTTTTTTTTTTTTGTCTTTTTTTTTCCGTGTCCGGCAACGGATTGCAACCCTCAGTGTTGCCCCCGTACCGGACCGGGGACCGGCAACGGGATCGCAACCCTCGGTGTCGCTCCCGCGCCTCGCTCAGCCAGTGAGCGGGAACCGGTCTGCATGTGGGATCCGAACCCTCGGGCGGGAGCGCCGCTGCGCTTCCCAAGCAGCGCACTATCCAGTGCGCCACCAGGCCGGCCCGAACATATACCAATTTTAAACAGAGTAGCCCTGTTTAGCTGAGGGAGTCCTTAAAATTCCACTACTCTGTACCTTCTAAATTTAGAACCAGAAGTGAGCAATAGGAACTGGATCTAAGAATCATTTGCTTTGCCAGTGTCTACAGAACCCTACCTAGGGTTCTGTGTTCTTTCAGACAAAGTGATAAAGGTTCATCAACTGTAAGAAGGCTTCAAGTAGAAAAATCCTTTAATGCTAAAATGTTCTCAGAAAAGATAGATGTATTTCTTGACAAGTAGTACAGCTGAAAAGTTCTACAGATGGCTGCTTTAGAACCATCTCTTATCTCAGTCATCACTTACATAATATTCCTCCCACCCAGAGTACTTCATAGCTGTAATACATCCATCAGCATTCTATATATCTTACCCAAGAGTTTTAAGAGGAAATAGGGGCTGTAGAGTTTGAGTCAAATTTCAGATGCAGAAAATTCCCCTCTAGATGATTGCCCAATCTTAGCCAGTGACTTAAGATTTGACTACTCTGAATAAACTTGCCTTTGGGCAGACAGAGTCCCAATATAAAGGCCCAAAAAGGATTAAAAGAGGAAGAAGTAACTGGAGCCCACAGATCTCTCAAAAGCAACTGCAGATTAAACCATCAGGTAGGCTGGTGACATGACCTGCTTCCTGTCTTACCTTGGAATGCCCACACAGGTGATGAAGGAGCCTCGTGTCCAACTGGAAGGTTTCCAGTAAACTCAGAACATCTTCCTATAACCAATAAAATTCATAAATGCTATATGAAGTGTTCTAATTTTATTTTAGATACGAGATATTTTTGCAAGCAAGGGCTCCGAAGAGCATAAACTCTGTGGGTTCCAGCCTATGTTGATAATCATCTTAATTTGGCCCTCAAATAGGAGTTGTGCTGGCTAACTCTCATTCTCAACCCCCCCATTCCTGTTCCTTGTGTAAATTAGAGTAATAACACCTGGATTTTAGTTTTATGTAGCTGCCATGTCTCAGGTTTCCCATCTGCAACATTAGGGTAAAATATTATCTCCCCTTTCTCCTTCAGGGTTTTGAGGGACCAACCAAATATTGTGAGAGTATTTTACAAAGTTCAACTTACTAAATATGTATAAGAAATCATCTGTGTTTCTACCCTTACTTTGCTACTCTAGCCCTGGGTGCCACTTGGTGAAAAAAACTATCAAGACTGTTCATTATAACAGCCAAGAGTTTTATGACAAATGAGTTCTTTTTTTTTTCCTTTTTGTCTTTTTTACTGACCGGCAACGGGATCGCAACCCTCGGTGTTGCGCCCGCACCTCGCTCAACCAGTCAGCGGGAACCGGTCTCCACATGGGATCCGAACCCTTGGCGGGAGTGCCGCCGCGCTCCCAAGCGGCGCACTCTCCAGTGCGCCACCGGGCCAGCCCAGACAAATGAGTTCTTTAAGAAATTATTATTATTATTCCTGAGAGTAGACCTAGAGAAGCACAAAAGAATAAGCAAACGACACACTGATATATGAGGTCC